GACAACCTGGGACACGTAGACATCCAGTACGAGAAACCAATACATCTAGACACCTGAACTACGGAATGCGCTGTTTAAACCTTGTCATCGGCGACCTGGGACATGTAGACATCGAATACGAGGAATTATAATTCCTACGAGAGTTCACGAATTAAAATTACGTACATAATAAAAATTCGAGAATCAAAAATATGTACATAATGAAAATTCGGGAATAAAAATTATGTACGTAATAAAAATTCTAGAATAAAATTATGTACTTAATAAAAATTCGGGAATAAAAATTATGTACATAATTTTAATTCCTGAAAAATTTTTGTTATAACATAAAATAAATTCAGAATTAATATTTTGTCTAGACATAATTTTATTTCTGCATTTTTAATCATATGATAGCTTAATAATAATTCGATGAATTATAAATATGTCTAGTCATAATTATAATTTCTTTTCTTTTAGTATCAATTTAATGTGGTAGAATTTTTATGATAGTATTAAATAGCAAAACGGCGTGCCATAAGAATTTAAGCAGGCATTACGCCTTATTTCTTTATCACAATTTCAAACCACTAAAAATAGCAAATCTTATACAATACTGCAAAGAAATTAAACAGTTGGAACGTACAAATATCTCTGGAGACGTACAATGTCTCGAGAGTATTGAAAATGACGACATCCATAGGATATCATGTGCTGTCTGGGATGGATTTGAAATAGCCGCGTCATGGAGCCAAAATGGCGGACGATTGCGGTACTTTATATATCTAGTGACTTTATGAGATACGCGACAGCAGCGCCAATGCCACGTTGCGGCAGAAAAGTGAGATGGAATTTGGCCTGGTTGACCACGACGACACGACGACGACGACGACGACGACGACGTTTCTTAAAAAAAATTACGTGAAAATTCCGACCCGTAGACTTTGCATTGCAATATCTCTACTCATGGGGCACGTAGGAAAAAAGTAAAAATACTTTTATTATGCAAATCGTACCCAAGCTATCGATTAAGCGCAGTCTCAAGTTCGTGGAATCATCCATTGTTGAGAAAAAAAAATCTGAGGGCCCGTCAAGCCGTGTACTCGCGTAAACTAACACGGTCGGTCTCGCGCGCGTGGTACTAGCTTCGCTTACACTTGGCGCGAGACACTACCGTGTCTCGTGATAGGGCTGTCGCAGCGGCTCACCCGCTGACGCCCCTCAGGTAGAGTGCCACGGGCCCTGGGCTCCTTCCTCCCGGCTCGCTGCTCCGCCTGCTCCGTTCTCAACCCGCAAGCCTCTCCACCGTGCTCGCCGCGGAATTTGTCCGTTAGCCGGGCCTCTCCTCTCTCTCCGCTGCTCTCGCGTCCTCGCGTACTCACACGCTCGTATTCATAACAACAAAAAAAACAAATAATCAGCAATAACGTCGGAACGACAAAATCTCCAACGGTCGCCTCTCTGGAGACTGCGGCACGGTTTCCCCTATCTCGGCCTGTTGCCCTGAAGGAAGAACCCAGTGGACGCGCACGCGGGACGGCAACGTCACAATACATATATTAACAAATTTTTGTTTACATATTGTGTGTGTGTGTGCGCGTGTGTGTGTGCGTGCGTGCGTGCGCGAGGGCGCGCGGGCGTGCGTGCGTGCGTGCGGGCGTGCGGGCGGGCGGGCGAGCGTGCGTGCGTGCGGGCGGGCGTGCGTGCATGCGCGCGGGCGGACGGGCGGGCGGGCGAGCGTGCGCGCGTGCGCGTGTAAATAGACATTTTTTTATTGTTTTCTCATTTTATTGCACAGTGAATTAAAATTTGTAATCAGACTCGTATGTGATATTATGAAGTTTTACAATTAGCGATTCTTTAAATAATTTACAGTCACTACAGTTACACATATTTATATAACGCATTTGACATGAAATTTTATACTATTATGCTGTAAAATGAGACAGTATTGGTGGACTTTACTGCATATTATATATAAATGTAAAATTGTGAAACAACTTGCAAACGAAGAAGTTTTATTACTCAATTTTTTATAACGCATTAGATGAGTTACATAATACACTGGTCAAAAAAATTAACGCAACAAGAAATTTACATCAAAATTTCGCGAAATTCAAATAAGCGTAACATCACGAAAACTGGTCGAATTGAAACGTTTTTTTTTCATTTTATAGGGCAAAGCCTCTGCTTTAAGAAGCTCTTATTGGAATTTGCATTCACTCTTCCCATTTCCCGGAACTTTCTCAAAATCAAGACCATGTTTTTTCTCTAAAAAATTGCACACTTTGACGCACTGTACGGAGTGTAGTAATTTTTCTTCGCCATTTCTGCTTACGGTATCAAAAAGTGTACACTTTTCTCTTGAATTAAAAAAAAGGAAGTTCCTACGTGTTCGGTAGCGCGGTTGATTTGCGAGAATCGGACGAGGGAGACCGAATGGACGGAAGACAAAAGGAAGCAAGACACCAATTATAACCACGTCTAGTACCAATAATTATTTCAATAAATCAAATCACAGTCCAATGAAAAGCGGTAGTGCGAATTCAAGTGTCCTTTTTCACAGAAAGGCGCGAGCGGTACAGATGGTCTTGTGACGAAGCGGCGAGGCTAACGACAAAGCTACTGTGTGGCGGAGGAGTGCGGCCGACTCCTTTTATAAGAGCGGCAAACCACCCCTCCGCATGCAAATTGTCCGTTAAATGTAACGGTGTCTTTTCGTTTGGCGGTGACCCCGGATTGCCAAAATTGATTGGCAATCCGAGGGGATCCGCGTGCGTTGGCGCGCGCCTGACGGGCGCGTTTGAGCTCCGGTGAGCGTGATTGGCGCTCGCGTTCGCGCATTGGCCGGGCATCGGTCGGCGGCACGCTCTCGTCCACGCGGCGACAACGCGAGCGTTAGCGAATTTGTTTGGGAAGGCGATGACAAGGTGTACAGCAAGTGCTTTCTCAGCGTCCTCGAGCCAAAATTGACAACAATATTTGCGGCACTAACATACTTACTGGAACGTTTTTGAGGCTCATGCTGTACACCTTGGATTAATTATCGTTACAAGGCGTATAGTTTTAATTGATTTGACAATTATCCGATCTCGAACATTCCCGCCCGCCTCGTCATTATCGTGACGAAACGAGCAGGTTCGGTTGGCGTTCTCGTAGATGGCGCGTCACCTTTGACTGGTAGGCGCCATCGAGCGGCGCGGTGGATCGCGGTGTGGGGAGGTGTCGCGCAGTACCGGCCCGCCGAAACGCGTGTTGTCATTAGTTAGTGATTGCATTCCTTCAACGCAGAATGTCCGTGCGGGCCATTTCCGCGTTTCGGTGTTGAGGCTGAACGGCGCGTTGCTGCGTGAATGCAGCGGAATTTCGCGAAGTGATTCAAGTGGTGCCGAAGTGCAGTGACATGGTTGCAACGATACCGCTGGTGTAGTTTTGCGGTATCGCCCCAAAATGAATGGCGAAGCGAGACGTGGATGCAATCGCGACAAGGGTGTGACGCGGGGACGAGACAACGCATTTTTTCCCGGCGCATGTTACTTGTCCTCGGAGGGAGTGGTTGACTCGCGATCTCCCGGCAGCAGCACCAACTTGACGAGGGGTCGCACCAGCTCCGTGGATGCCGTGCGAACCGTCGCGACGCGGGTCACGCTATCCTCGCCTGGATGCAACTTGGTGATGCGGGCCAAAGGCCATCGGCTTGGTGGCGTCGTCTCGGTGCGGACGATGCACAGGTCACCGATGCGAGGGACGACATCCTTGGTCAACCATTTTGGACGCGCTGCCAGGGAGTGAATATACTCGCGCGACCACCTTTGCCAAAAGTGGTCGCGCATCCTTTGCAAATGCTGCCACCGGGAGAGCGTATTGTCTGCCCTTTCGAGCAGCGACGGCTCTAGAACGGCCAGCAGCGGGGCGCCGATCAGGAGGTGCCCAGGCGTCAGGGCGGAGATGTCGTCCGGGCAGTCTGAGAGTGCTTGGAGTGGCCGGGAGTTGAGGCAGGCTTCCACCTGAGCAAGGAGAGTGCTCATCTCCTCGAACGTGAGGGTGGTGTCGCCGATTACTCGACGAAGGTGAAATTTCGTCGATTTCACGGCTGCCTCCCATAGGCCTCCAAAATGCGGCGCGGACGGCGGGTTGAAATGCCACCGGATGCCCTGGGTAGCGACGTGTGTTGCGATGCGACAGCCGTCGGAGGTAGACGCTCGAAGAGTTGCCGATCGGCGCCGACGAAGTTTGTGCCGCAGTCTGAAAAAAGGTCAGTACAGAGTCCCCGGCGCGAAGTGAACCGGCGCAGGGCGGCCAGGAAAGCGTCGGTTGAATAATCCGACACCACCTCGATGTGCACGGCTTTGGAGCTTAGGCACACAAAAATGGCAATGAATGCCTTGTGTGCTCGGTGACCTCGCCCCTTGGTCGTGCGGACAAAAATCGGGCCGGCGTAGTCAATGCCGGTCCGGCTAAACGGCCGCGCTGGGGTCACGCGTTCCTTCGGAAGATCGCCCATCGGTGGTTGCAGCGTGACTGCTCGCCATCGGGTGCAAGTGACGCACCGATGAAGCTAGCGTTTCACGACGGTTCGGCCCTGCGGAATCCAGAAGCGGAGTCGGAGCATGCCAAGCGTCAGCTGAACTCCCCTGTGCAGAGTGCGTCGGTGATAAGCCTCCACGAGCAGCTTTGTGAGGTGGGACCATGGAGGTAAAATCATCGGGTGCCTTTCATCGAGTGGTAGCGCCGAGTGCCGCAGTCGTCCTCCCACCCTGAGCACCCCGTTGTCACTCAGGTAAGGATTCAATTTTATTAGAGTGCTCCTTTTCGATAGTGCGCGGTTGTCCTCGGTGGTCGCGACCTCGGTAGGGTAGTGCAGAGCCTGCACCACTCGGAGCCACCGCACAAGAGCCGCGTCGAGTTCGTCGGCACGTAGTGTTCGCGCCGGTAGACTCGCTCGAGCCCTCCTCGAGACGTTTCGCCAACGCAGGCACCAGGCGGTCACCCTCAGGAGCCGGTGCAACTCGGAGAACCGGAGGAGGAGCTCCGGCTCTTCGACGGTCTCGGTGACGGCACCGTGAGCAGTGGCTCTCCCCTCGGGGATCTCCCGGGGAGTGACGTCAGGGGTCTCCATCGGCCAGCTCGCTCGGTCCTCGTGCAGCCAGGAAGGGCCAGACCACCACAAAGGATGGTGTAAGAGGTCGGTTGGCGATATCCCCCGAGAAGCGCAATCGGCAGGATTCTCTCGGCCCGGGACGTGACGCCATTGAGCCTCGGGAAGGAGCTCCTGGATAAGAGCCACTCGGTTAGCCACATACGTCTTCCATCGTGATGCGTGGCTTTGGATCCAGTGCAGCGCTACCTGCGAGTCTGACCAGAGGAATACTGGAGCTGCGGACAGACCTAAAATTGACTGAGTGTGTGCCACGAGTTTGGTGAGCAGGGCAGCGGAGCAGAGCTCTAGACGCGGCAGAGTGACGGGCTTGAGCGGGGCAACTTTGCTTTTGGCGGTGAGCAACTGCACGCGGACTCCGGAGCCATGCTCGAGGCGGAGGTAGACCGCCGCTGCGTACGCCCGCTCAGAAGCATTGGCAAAGCCGTGGAGCTCAGAGCGTGAACTCTTGGCGCCACTGCCGAGCCAGCGGTTCACGCGCAGACCCTCGAGGAGTGGCAGCTCCTTGAAGAAGCTCTCCCATTGGAGCGTGTCCACTGACGGGAGTGGCGTGTCCCAATCCAGCCGCTTCATCCAGGTTGCCTGAATTAGAATTTTCGCTCGGATGCTGACGGGTGTCAACCATCCGAGCGGATCGAAGAGTCGCGCTGTCTCCGCGAGAACGCTCCTCTTCGTGTAACTGGCAACGACACGAGGCTGGATCGCAAACGCGAAGGTGTCGTCGTTGGGATGCCATCGCAGTCCCAACGTGGAGTGTATCTCGTGCTCCCAGGAGTGTGGTTTGGTCAGGCGGTGTTCCAGTGGAGTTCCGGCGAGAATCTCAGGGCAGTTCGCGGCCCATTTGCGGAGTGGAAACCCGCCATGCAGAGCTGGTGGAGCTGGATCTTAACCGCGATCGCGTCGGACTTTTCGTGAGCGCCGGTGACTACATCGTCGACGTAGCAGTCGCGGCGCAGAACCGCGGCCCCGCGCGGAAAGTTGTCTTCTTCGTCGACCGCGAGCTGCCGCAGCGTGCGGATGGCCAAGAACGGCGCGCAAGCGAGGCCATACGTAACCGTATTGAGACGGAACTCGCGGACCGGCTCGACTGTTGAGTGCCGCCAGAGTATCCGCTGGAAATCGCGGTTTTCGGGAGCGACGAGGATCTGGCGGTACATTTTTTCGATGATGGCGTAGCGGTGCCACCGCCAGCGCATCAGGACGCTTAACAAAACCCCCTCCCAGGGGGGTCCCGGGTATCCATAAAGGATTCTCCTGCGTTAACAAAAAAAAAGCGCATCAGGACGTCAGCGAGGGCAGGCAGCAGGTTCGCTCCCGTGAGAAGATGGGCGTTGAGCGAGTCGCCGGACTTGGTTCGCTGCGACCCGTTAAACACCACCCTCAGCTTCGTGGTGGCGCTTGACTCCCGGAGCACTCCGTGATGCGGAAGGTAGCACTTACCGTAGGTGGGAGGATTAGACGCGCCAGTCACGCGCGTCATATGCTGAACGTTTCCGTACTCCCTTAGGCAGGAGCGGTAGAGTTCTCCGAACCGCGTGTCCCGGCTGCCTTTCCGCTCGACGGCGTGCAGCAGGCGTTCCGCAGACTTGCGAGTCTCCGTGAGTGTTGGCGGCGGAAAGGCAAATGGCAGCCTCACCATGTACCGCCCTGAGGAGGTGCGAGTGTGAGTGCGATTGAAAAACTCCTCGCACAACTGCTCGTCAGGAGTGAGGGCGATGGGAGCGGAGGGTTCCTGCTCCTGCTCCCAAAAGCGCTGCACCAGCGAGGAAAGCTCGTGCTCGGCCGAGCACTGCAGGGAAGTGCGCGGCTTCGAACCTGACGAGTCGACGCATCCGCCGGACAGTATCCATCCAAGTGATGTGCGTTGAGCGACGGGAGCCAAAGGACCTCCCTTCCGAAGACCCTCCTCAAGGATGATGGAGCATACCTCAGCGACAAGGAGAAGCTCGATCGGATCGTTGGCCCGGAACCATGGATCGGCCAACTGCAGCCCCTTCACGTGAGGCCACGGGGCTCCAACCTGCGTGCTTCCACCCTGGTAGAGCGAGAGACGAGGAAGAACGAAGGCGACAGCGGTCAACTTGGTCTCGTTGACGGTGGACGCGAGGCTGAGCGAGACTCTTCCTCGGCTCGTCCCGGTGCGGGTTCCCCCGATGCCAACGATCGACACCGAGGACTTGGACCGCGGCAAGTGCAGGCGTTGCACTAGGGACTCGAAGATGAGTGATACCTCCGAGCCCTGATCGATCAACGCTCGAATAGTGTACGGGGCTCCGTGGCGGTCGGCGACGTTCACTCTCGCGGTCGCGAGAAGAATCGCCCGAGTGTCATCCTCCCGTTGCACAGCTGAGAGCGCGTTGGCCTCGGCGGGTTGGGCAGTGGTGTACGCGTCGTGAAGCATTGAGTGGTGCCGCGCCTTGCACGTGCTGCAAGTTTTCGCGGACTGACACTTTGCGAACAAATGAGGACCGAGGCAATTGTAGCACAATCGATGCGTTTCCGCGACGGCTTTGCGGTCGGTCGCGGACTTCGTCTTGAATTCGTCGCACATCATGACGTTGTGCTTGCCCTTGCACAAGACACACTGTGCCGACGTGGCGACCCCCTTGGAGTGATGAGACTTCGCGGATCGCGACGGGTCTCCGGATGGTTTGGCGGTTGGCGTTCTGGCCGCTTTGAGCGTGAGAGCTCGTCGCGTGATGAACTTCATCAGCGTTTCATGACTCGGGACATCGTTCGACTCGCTGGTGAATGCGGCCCACTCGAGACGAGTTCTAGGGTCGAACAAGTCGGTCACGAGGTGGTTCAAAAGATCGTAACCGTGTGACTCGATGGGCCGACCGATGCCCTCCTGTCCACTTACGACGCTTGTTACGGCGTTGAAGACGCGATTCAGTTCTTCCGCGGTGTCGCTCTTCATTTTAGGAACCGCGGTAAAGGCAGAGAAGTTGGAGCGAGCCACTTCCTTCTCGTTTTCATAATGCTCCGTCAGCATCGACCACGCGCGCGGATAGTTTTCCCCGATCACGGCTAACGGACGAATTACCTTTTCAGCTGCTCCTTCAAGGCAGTGCCGCAAGTGGTGGAACTTCTCAATGTTCGAGAGGGACTTGTGTTTTCCGACGATCGACATGAAGCTGTCCCGGAAGGTGGGCCAGTCCTCGAACGCGCCCGAAAACGATTTTACTCGGAGTCTAGGTAAGGCCGATGCGGAGGAAACGCCGCCGGGCTCCTTGCTCGACGCGGCGCTTGTCGGATTCGCGGCTTGGAGCTTTATCGCGTATTCGTTCAATGCGCTTCGCTCTTGCATGTACGTAATTTCAATGGTGTCGAAAAATTGTGTTTGGTTGTACTCACTCTCATCAAATTCTTCTTTGAAGAGTGTTCGAATGGTTTCGTGCTGTGCTTCGACCTTGGCCCATATCTTGTCGAGGAGTTCAAGGCGTGTTTCAACAGCGTGTAGCGTGATGTTCTCCGCGCCCATCTTCTTCAAGTTGGTGACCGAACGGGCGATGCGACCATGAGCGTCGCTTTGCGCCGTTAGCAAGGCGTTTAAGTCCATGTTAATTGATTTCCCTCTTTCAGGCATTCAAACAGGCGGTGCACTCCCGAGTTAGCGGTTGCCGGTGGAGAATCCGGCTCGAAGGACCAATAATGTTCGGTAGCGCGGTTGATTTGCGAGAATCGGACGAGGGAGACCGAATGGACGGAAGACAAAAGGAAGCAAGACAAATTATAACCACGTCTAGTACCAATAATTATTTCAATAAATCAAATCACAGTCCAATGAAAAGCGGTAGTGCGAATTCAAGTGTCCTTTTTCACAGAAAGGCGCGAGCGGTACAGATGGTCTTGTGACGAAGCGGCGAGGCTAACGACAAAGCTACTGTGTGGCGGAGGAGTGCGGCCGACTCCTTTTATAAGAGCGGCAAACCACCCCACCGCATGCAAATTGTCCGTTAAATGTAACGGTGTCTTTTCGTTTGACGGTGACCCCGGATTGCCAAAATTGATTGGCAATCCGAGGGGATCCGCGTGCGTTGGCGCGCGCCTGACGGGCGCGTATGAGCTCCGGTGAGCGTGATTGGCGCTCGCGTTCGCGCATTGGCCGGGCATCGGTCGGCGGCACGCTCTCGTCCACGCGGCGACAACGCGAGCGTTAGCGAATTTGTTTGGGAAGGCGATGACAAGGTGTACAGCAAGTACTTTCTCGGCGTCCTCGAGCCAAAATTGACAACAATATTTGCGGCACTAACATTCTTACTGGAACGTTTTTGAGGCTCATGCTGTACACCTTGGATTATCGTTACAAGGCGTATAGTTTTAATCGATTTGACAATTATCCGATCTCGAACACTAAGATTTTTTTCGCCAAATCACAGCTTATTGAAATAACCATTGTGTTTTCGACATTACCGACGATATCTCCGTTAAAACTCATCGTAGCAAGATCGTTTTTTTTTTATTAAAGCTTGCACTTTCCGCTTCAAAAACTAGTCACCAGATTTTTCCTCGAATGCATCTGCGCTGCTGTAGCTTTTAAAATGCAAGGACATGTTTTTACCTAAAAAATAACCAACTTTAGCCAGGTGCCCGGGCGTAAGAAATTTTTCCTCGCTAATTCTGCTTGTAGTATCAAAAAGTGTGTACTTTTTCCTTCAATTAAAAAAAGAAGTTACTGCGATTTTTTTCGCCAAGTTACAGCTTTTTGAAGTAACCCTTGTATTTTCGTTCATTACCGTCGACATCAGCGTAACCAAATGTGCACGTGGAGGTTGGCGTTCGGATTTTGCATATCGTGTGGCCCTACAGTCACGCAGCCTTCTTCCCATCATATCCCAGTATGTTCGATATGAATACACCACTGGCCCTCTTCAGGGCCACACGATGT